TATCTATCTATCTATCTATCTATCTATCTATCTATCTATCTATCTATGCTTTGCAAACCTTAAAGCACTTTATAACTGTTAGCTAGAAATACAAACCATGGGACTTAGAACTCCCTTACTACAGGAATGGGGTCATGGTATACCATCCCTGACCCCCAGAGGCCAATGTGAAGGTGTGACTCCCCTCTCTTTTGATGAGAATGACGTGACATCCCCCACATGCCTTTTTCTAGCTGTTGGGTCTGCTATAAGGTCTCCCCCCCACCAGCTCTCAGCTTCTTCCTAGATGGGTTGTTTGAAGAGGAGAAGAATGACCTCACTATGTTGGGGTCAAGGTATAGTATGTCCTCATGGACAAAATAAGAAGGGTAGATGCAATGATCCCTCAAGGACTTTTTCCCTGCATAAAGAGAGACATTGTGGCCCAATGGAGGAATCCTGGATGGGCAGTGGGAGAATAGAAGAATGCAGAGCTCACAGTGGGTACAAGGCTAGCCTTGAGGTTGGAAGGATCATGATTCAAATCCTGCCAAGCGATTTGCTCAAAGTCATGCTGAGAGTAAAGGGTGGGGTAGAACCCCTGGCTCTGCACTCAGTGTTCAGAAACATTTTTAGGAAGAATGCCTCCCACCTTACCAAGAGGTAGGTCTTACCTCTCTTGGATTTCCCAGGGATTGGGACTTTTTTAAGTCTCCCTATCTTGCCCAGGTCTGGTACAGCTCTGAATGTAGTTTTAACCTGCTCTGTTTCCAACCTAGGCTGGTTCAGTCCCCTTTGGGCAAACTCGGGGCTCGCTGCCTCAATGTAACCCTTGTTGTGGATACCCAAAAGGCTTAGCCCAATGCAGCTCAGAAACCCTAGTCTCAAGAGATTGTCCCAAGGAGCAGAGATCACAGGCATGCCCTGCCTTGCTCAGAAATGTGGGCTCTCTCAGAACCAAGCAGGGACTCTTTTTCTTTGGTCCCTGGGTTTTCCCATTTCCCAGACTTTCTAAGGCTTCTTTAATGTCCGAGCTCCCAGACCCAAGTGTCCTGACCTTGGTCCCAGGCTGACAGATCTACCACACCCTATCCCTAATCACCACTTCCTTCACCTGCCATAGCCAGCATAACAGGTGTCACCCACCTGTTCTTTCCTGGACTGAATAGCCACTAAAGTCCTCTCTTGCCTTGGGAGTTCCCCATGTTTCCCTTTCAACCACAGATGCCAGGCCATAAGCATGAGTTCTATTGGTTTATTGACAAGGAAGTCTCTTCTAACAACTCCCATTGCTCAACACGGCATGGAGCTGACCTTAACTTCATGACACCTGTGTCAACAGATGAGTTCTGACCCATCCTGCCAAAGTGGGCAGGATTTGAATGTGGTCCCAGCCCATGTGAATGGGTACTTCTCATGGGAGTATTGGCCTAACTGTGTTTACTGAAGCCCAGGGTCAGACCTTCTGATGATGGTGTTTTCGGCTTAGCTACAGAGGTGGAGGGGCCAGGATGCCCATTTATGGTGCAGCATTCACAACAGTGAAGTCACAGGTCCTCAAAATAGGAAGTATTTGAGAAAGAAAACCAAGTGTGCAAAGTCAGAAAAAAAATACACCTGACATTTAAAGTAATTAGAAGTGGCCAGGAAAGAAAATCACCTGATCACACACTTAACTCCTTAACTATTCTACCTGGGTCCTGTTCTGCAGCCGGGATGGAGCCAAGATATTCGCTAGGCTTGGAAACTCTGTGCCTGGAGCCCTAGGAAAAAGGGGCTCAAATGCCCCTTCTGTACGTCTTATCTGTATGACTAAGGTAAGGTCATGCCACCTTTTTGGGTCTCAGTTTCTCCATCTGTAAAATGAGGAGGCTAACTGAGGCACCCTCTCAGGTCCCTTCCTGCTCCATATCATGAAGCCTATACTTCTCTAATGGGACTCAGAGCTGGATGAAAATATTGTACAGAGGCACCCTGGGAAATGGGAAGAGGACCCAAATTTTTTGACCTCAATTTAACATTTACTTGCTGTGTGACCTTGGGTAAGTATTTTACCTTTCTGGGTCTCAATTTCCTCCTCTTTCCAATGAAGATCTCACACTAATTCCCTCCCAGGTGTGTCTTATGGGAAGCATCTGATAGACTCAGACATGATGGTGATGGTGACAGAGATTTGGGCTCCCTCTGAGGAGTTTGCCTGGAAAATGTGAAGAAATGACATAATGGTGCTCTTTGGTGGGACTGCAGGAGCTGGAACATCCTTTACATCCCAATCCCTCACCTGCTAATGCCTTTCCCTCTCAGATCACCCTCTATATCCTCTGGAGATAGCTTCTTTTATCTAGTTATTTGCATGTTGTCTCACTCTTTAGAAACTGAGTTCAAGGCGAACATCAATTTCTATCTTTCTTTGTACCCCAGATAGGTGGCAGAGTGGAGAAAGCATTGTTTACTGTTAGGGTGGCCTGAATTTTATTCCTTTCTGAGACACTTCCTCCCTAGGCTAGTCACTTAATCTCCATCTAGCTTAAGTTTTCTTAATTGTAAAATGGCGGTAGTAATAGCACCTACCTCCCAGGGTTGCTGTAAGGATGAAAATGTGATAATATTTATAAAGCACTTAGCACAGAGCCTGGCACATGGTAGGTGCTTAGTAAATGTTTGTTTCCTTTCTTGTTTGCTTGTTTCCTTCCCCCAGTACTTAATAAGTGCCTGGAACATACTAAGTGCTTAATAAATGTTTGTTGATTGACTGACCTCCCTCATGGGTTCTCCATTGTCTACTCCTGCCCAGTGAGGACAGGGGTATAACCTGTTTCTCTCCAAATCCAACGAGTACACTAATCAGTTCCTCTAGTCCTTCAATAGTAATGGGGCCCCTGGATATCACTAATGACTATATCTCTTCTTTGTAGAAAAAAAAATACCAGAGGGTCAAGACCTTTGATGGATAGATATAAGACTGGGGATAGAGATGAGGTTAGACAAGAATGGGAATGAGACTGGACCTTGGATAAGGGTTTTGGGGAATTAAGGATGGGGATAAAATTGAATTTGGATTGAGTTGGTGATGAGGTTGTATTGAGAATTGGGATCAGAAAAGGGCCAAGAATTAGGGATCATGCCTGAAGTGAAGCTGGCAATGGAGGTGGACAGGTCAAAGATGGGCACTGAGCCTGTGAAGAAGATAATGGAGTAGGCCAGGGCCAGGCAGAGAAGGAAACTGATGAGGCTAGCAATGAGTATGAAGACAACGGAGTAAGTCAGGTAATCTGAGGAAAGAAGGAAAAAGGCTGAATGTCTAATGGGCTAGGACTCTCAGGGAATAGGGATTTGGGGGCTTGGGGAAAACTGGAAGGGAGGGGAGACCATCCCAGAGTTAGGAGGAAGTTTCCAGTTAAGTAGGGGTTCTCTAATTTTGGGGGGGTGTACTAGGCAAAAAGGAGGTCTTTGCTTGGGATGGCATGAGATGAGAGCTCTTGGTGTTTGGAGCTCTTTTCTGTGATATGTCTCCCAGTGAAAGGGTGCTCTCTGGTCAGGGATGGGTGAGTTCCTGGGTGAGGGGGACAGGCAGACTCACAGGGCGGCTGATCAGGCTCCAGTGTGCATTCGGTCTCTGGGCAGGGAACAAGGAGAGAGGTGTAGATGTCAATGACGGTGAAATTGCCGGGAGCACCCACTGGCACGTAAAAGCAAATCCATGACTTATACAGAGAGAGCAGACCGGCGATGGCTAGTCCAGCCAGGCTCAGCAGCAGGCAAAGCTCCCGGCTCAGATGGCGTGCTCGGTGCAACAGCCGATGACTGAGAGGTAACATGGAGGTCCTGTGCCTTTGAATCCCCTTCCATCTGTAGAAATGACAAGCAGTGAGTTTCCCCCAAACCTCAAATCTGGAAGGGACCTCAGCAACTGCCTAGTCCAATCTAAAACAGAAGTGGCCTCTGTGACCTCCTGACACCATGACTTCCAGTCACGAAGTGTAACGCCAAACCGATGCAACCCCTAGATTTCTGCTTCTGATGCTGTAAGCCTGACCTTATACTAAAGCCAACTCATCTCTGGACTTTTGCCCAATCACTCCACCAATCCCTAACCTGATATATTACTGAATCTTAATCCTCAACCCTGATTTCCAACTCCAAGCACCTCCCCTTGCTTCTTTCCCAGATACCAGCTCTGACATCCAGGGTTCTTCATGCATTTATTTGTTATTGCTGTTGACTCATTTCAGTCATGTCTGACTCCTCATGACCCTATTTGGGGTTTTCTTGGCAAAGATACTGGAGCCGTTTGTCATTCCCTTTTTCAGCTCATTTTACACATGAGGAAACTGAGGCAAACAGGGTTAAATGACTTCCCCACGGTCACACAGCTATGTCTGAGGCAATTAAAAAATTTTTTTTTAACAAATCCCAAGTGGATCTCATCTCCTATGGGCCACATTAACCCCTACCTGGCCTCAGACCAAGCTGAAGGACCCCACTGTCTAAGTAGTCCGTGAGGGGACTTCTCAGTGAATCCTCTGACCTCAGCCTCATCTCTCACCTTCCAAACTCTCCCCCAAAGGAACTGAGGGTTTGATGGTAGGTCAGACCCCAATTCTTGGGGGAAGAGTGATGAGACATGAAGAAGCAGTAAAGGCCAGATGACCCCTGCAGCCACTCCAAACGGATTCTCCAACTGCCTCAGAACCCCCTCCCCCTCAGCTTCTGCCTACCCCACCCCCATCCCTATACATCTCCCTAAACCAAAAGGCCTACCCGTGACCTACCTTATGACCCTTAGGGAGCCAACAGCTTAATGGAGGAAGGATGGCTTATATTTTACATTATCCTGACCAGAAAGGAGTGGTGGGTAGAGATGGATCATCTGGGAATCAAGCCAGATTTGGAGCCATGTCAAAAACCATTGAAGAGAACCATAGAATTTAGAGTCGGATGAGGTTTTGGGGCAAGCATTGACTCTGAAGTCAGAAGACCTGGGTTTGAATCTTAACTCAATTCTTTACCTTTGTAACTTTAGGGAATTGATTTAATCTCTCAGGTGAAGAACTCGGTTTCTCCATCTGTACTCATGAAAAACAATTATATTTTGTTCTGTTGTGGAAAAAGTACTTTCCTCACAATACTTTGTAAGGCCTTAATATTATCTTCATGTTATAGTCAAGATCATTGAGACACAGAATTTAAGTGGCTTTTCCATAGTGAATAAGCGACAGGGTCAGAATTTTAATTCAGGTCCTTTGTTTCCAAATCTACTATACCAGGTCCTCCATTTTAGGCAACCGGCCAAATTAAAATCACTTTTTTTCATTTTTTGAGTGTATTATTTCCAATCTCCTTCTGTCCCTAAAATTAAAACTGTTTACATAACTAAATTGTAGCACCATTATATTGTCTGGGAAGCAGGGTGGATGACCTCATAGGACTTTTAATTTTTTGTCTTCCTATACATAACACAAGTTTCCTTGAAAGCATCTGACATTTTTTTTAAAAAATGCTGCTATGTGCATGAAGTGATGGCTAGTTAGCAGAGAGATTTCTGAAATAATACCTATAACACATGGTGCACATTCAAAAGAGATTTATTTTTATTTATGCTAACTAGTACAATGGAAACCTATACTTCTCAATTTTAGCTATCAAACTTTATCAACGAAAGGAATGAAAATATGAATTTATATCATTTATTTGACAATACATACATTAACCCCATGAGGAACAAACCAGCAACTTGATTTCCTGGGGTTTCCCAGTAAACACGTCCCATACAAGTACTCCCGACAAGTTTCCCTCTGTGCCCAGCTGGAAGCCTTGTGTCTCACTCACTGCCCTCAAGTGGACATCAAGGTTAGTTGCATCTCAAGCGTGAGGAGCAGAGGAGCCAGCCTCAGTCACAACTTCAGGTGATGCTGAATTCAGACTTGGGGTTTGCAACCCAAGGACAGGCTGATGACCGGGGATCTGGTTATACCTACGTCCTTATGGGTGATTGCTTCCCTAAGAGAATAATGTGAAGAAAATATCAAAGCTCATGTTGTGATAAAGTATTTATGAGTGGTTTACCAGATTTGGAGGACATCTGCCCTTAGCAGCTGTTTATCAGACATGTCATTCGTAATTGTTCATCAAATTTGGGACACATAGATTATTGGCAGATTACGTCATTTCAATTTTTATCTTGTTACTGGAGGGGTAAAAAAAAAAATGAAACCCAACCCAGAACAACTGCTCTGTGACAAAATGTAGTAAGTTACGTTAAAAGAACTGTATTCTCACTAGAATGCCATATGCCCATGTAAGGAATGGAGCTGGTTCAACACATTCCCCACAAGAGACACACACTTTTGAGGACTTTCTTTCGGGCAGTTCCAGGGAGGGGAGAGAGAGAAAGACTTTTGAAGCTGCAGACAAGAAGGGGGAAGCTGGCTCTTCACTCTTTCTCTGATTTCACCCCTTGGGGGAGGTCTGGGTCTCTCTCTGTTTCTGTCTCTCTGTCTCTTTCTGTCTCCCTATCTCTGTCTCTGTCTCTCTGTCTCTGTGTCTCTTGGTTTGAGTTGAGATCTTAACTCACTCCTATCAGAACAGCTGGCTCAAGCCTGTGTATGTTTCTACTTCTCTTTGGCCTGGATAAATGGGTTTACTCACCAGTCAGCTGGCTTAGGAAGCACAACGTATGGAGTGTTGGGACTTGAAGTCAAGAAGATGACTTAAGATGCATCCTCAGACACTAACTGGGCACATCACTTATGCTCTCAGTTTTCTCCTCTGTAAAATGGGGATAATAATCGCACTTACTTCCCAGCATAATGATGATAATCAAATGAGACAGCACATTTAAATTCCTTTGCAAGCCTTAAAGTAGTATACAAATACTAGCTATTATTGTTGTTATTATTTCTTATGTGCAATGGCTTTGTGTAAAGCTGCTATTTTTGTGGGAAGGGGCCCCAAACAAGAGATATAGGCTTGGGCACAACCATGCCACCTTAAAAGTGACCATGGAAGTGGCATTATTTTGGCACCCCTAGAAAGGCAATATTGGGAAGGAAGCAAGGGGGTATAACTCTAGCCCTGTCCAACTCTCAAAGACTTGAGAAAGTGACCAGCTTCATGGCCCTTCTCCTACTTCTCTCAGGGCAAGAGACACAGTTTCCTTCAGAATTGGATGGGGCAAGATGGCAGAGTTATCTTTTTATACCTCTTGTGAGCTGTCTTTAGACTACCCATGTGGCTATAGATACGCCCATTCATAGATATATATCTTGACACCTAGGTGCATCTGTGTCTGTATATGCATATGTATGTGTATATGTAAGTATATATGTATGTGCATTGATCTCTCTCCATATTGACATCTATAGATATATAGCTATGTATACATATATACACACATATATGCACATGCACTCATGTACACACGCACTCATTATTCTCCCCCCCAAACCCTCCCCCTTTCCAAACTCACCCATCACTATCAAGGGCACCACTTTCCTCTCAGTCTACAAGGCTCCCAAACTAGATGATGCTCTGGACTCCTTGTTATCACCCACATCTCATTTCTAATCTGTTGTCAAGGTCTCACCCTTTCAGTGTCCTCAAATTTGCCTCTTCCTCTCCTCTGATACTGTCACCACCGGTGCAGACATGAATGTCCACACTGCATCGCCTCATGCCAGAACTATTGAAATAGGTGGGTCAGTATGACTGCAGTCTTTCCCCACTCCAGTCCATTTTCTAGCTGGGTGACCCAGTGGATAGAGAGCACTGGGCTTGGAATATACAGCAGATGGTCAAATGGATAGAGTCCTGAGCCTGGAGTCAGGAAGATCTGATTTCAAATATGGCCATAGATACTATTTGTGTGACCCAGGGCCAGTCACCTGACCTCTGTTTTTCTCAGTTTCCTCAGCTGTAAAGTGGGAATAGTAATAGCACCTGTATCTCAGGGTTGTTGTAAAGATTGATTGAGATAATATTTGAAAAGTACTTAGTACAGTGCCTGGTACACAGAAAGTGATTAATAAATGCTGATTTCCTTCCTTCCCATATGTCCATAGAAATCTACATCTACATGAACATAGGTCTCATGTAATATGTATGTGATTTGGATGAAATCTCATATGGTGAATCACCCTTGTTAGGCAGTGCATCAGAACCCCAGGACACGTAGCCCAGGGGACCCTCCAGTTACCAGAAACCTGTGAGTTCCTCTTAACAGCTAGAATGATCAACATTTCTTTTTCCTAACAGGGGATAAAACGTGCCACTTTGCTACCTGTGCCACTACTCCTAATTTTGCCCCCATACTTCCATCCTGAGGCCGAAGGGAATATACATGATCCCTCTTCCACAAAACAGCCCTTCAGACACACGAAGACAGCTCTCCCATCTCCTGGAAGATCCTTCTTCCTCTGCATTTGATGTTATTATTGGTTAGTTGTTTTTCAGTCATGTCTGACTCTTCCTGACCCCTTTTAGGGTTTTCTTGACAAAGATACTGGAGTGATTGGCTATTTCCTTCTCCAGCTCATTTTACAGATGAGGAAACTGAGACAAACAGGGTTAAGTGCCTTACCCAGGGAGGGGTACACAGCTAGTAAGTGTCTGAGGCTGGATTTGAACTCAGGCCCAGCACTCTATCTGCTGTGCCACCTAGCTGCCCTGTAGTCCTCTGGACTAAACATTCCCAATTCTTCCCACTCATCCTTTCAGAGCTCACTTTCTAGTCTCTTCACAGTCATTCCCCATGAATTTATTAAGCGCCTGCTGGAGGCAGCATGGTATAATAGAGAACTTCCTTCCAAGTCAGGGGACCTGGGTTCAAATCCTGGGGCTGCCACTGACTCAATGTGTGACCTGGGACAAACTGCTACATCCCCCTGGACCTCAGTTGCTCACTCGTAAAATAAAAGGCTTGTGACTTTCCTCCTGGTTCTAAATCCATGACCCGATGAATCTGGGTGGCAGGCTCTGTGTATGAGATTCTGAGGCTGCAGACAAAAAGCCATCCCTATCCTCCAGGAGCCAACACTGTCTAGGCTGGGAGAGAGGGAATATGAAGGCAAATACCGAATAGCTATAGAGCCAGTGAAGTCCCATGGTAATGGGAGGGCCATAGTAATGGGACGGTGCTGTATGGTTGGTGGTGGCACTTGAGAAAAGCCTTGGAAGGAAGTCAGGAATTCCAAGGGGCCGTGGTGATGAGAGGAGGTTGGGGGGCCAGGGACCAGTCTTTGACTTGGTTGCCTCCTCAGCGCATTCTTTACCTGTCTTTGGCCCTGATCTCCCTGGCCTTTGTTTTAATCCTGAATGAAGTGGAGTTGAGGATACATAGCCAGCTTAGACCTTAGTCCTGACCCTACCCTACATTGGGGAGGTCACTTAAACTCTCTCAGGCTATTAGCTGCAGAGAAGGTGTTGACCTGCACTGGGGGAGGGACTTTCCTTATAGGAAAGCTTCTTAGACAAGTAAAATCAGAAGATCCAGTCTATATCCCTAAAGTTTCCTCAGACTTAGAAGTGGGAGTGTGGGATATCTAGATGTTGCTTCTGCATCAGAGGTTGGAGTCAGAGAAATAGGTTTTTTTAAATTATTACTACTGTTCCCACAAAAAGTCAAGTGG